GTTTGTGTGGTCGATCGAAGATGTAACACAGTGGTATCACTATGCATCTTATATATGATTAGGTATCACAATGTATCTTTTGTTTAACAAAGTCAATATTTTTAGGTATCACAGTGGTATCATAGTGGTATCACCGGAGGACGGTGGCCGGAGGCCGGAGAATGGTGGCCGGAGAGAGAAGAGAGGAGATATGAGAGTTTTAAAATACCAAAAATATCCTTGCATTAAGATTTTAATTTAAAATTATCAAATTTATAAATTTCCTAATTTATCTATTGATTTGTGGTTAATATTGGTTCTCACAGTTACCACAAACAACTCAGTTCTCCCTTAAATAGACCCCTATATATATATATATATATATATATATATATATATATATATATTTGAAACAAAAAGGGCAATACGTAGCTTGAGGTATTAAAGTTAGTTGTGACATAAACAGCTTTGTGTAGCTGCCAAGTAAAAGTAGTAGATATTATACCAAATTCTATTTCATTTTTTATAAAACCAACCAAGAAAAATAGTGTCACCAAGTGGTCTACTACCTATCCACCTAACGGGGTAAAAGCGACATTTCAGCAAATCAACTTCTCTTTATAAGCTTTGTGTTCCATCTTCCACCACCACAAACTACTACAACTTCAAACAACAATACGATCCAAGGAGCTAGAGAGCTAGACATGGCGGAGACACGGTGGCGATTGGTGGCGGTGACGATGGCCATGGTCATGGTGGCTTGTGTTTTCCCGGCATTGGTTGAGGGTCGAATCCGTCATTACAAATTCAATGTTCGTGTTTTTTTTAATTTCATTGCTTATTTTGACGTTAAGAGAAGTTGTTGGTTTTTTGTATGACGCACCTAACGAAACATAATTGGTCGTTTTTATTGGGTTTTCACACAAAAATATGTCGAACACACGGTTCTTTCTGAAGCTAACGGTTTCAATGGTGTGTATGTAGGTGGTGATGAAGAATACGACAAGATTGTGTGCAAGTAAGCCTATTGTCACAGTTAACGGTCGTTTCCCAGGTCCAACTATAGTTGCCAGGGAAGACGACACGGTAACAATCAAAGTGGTCAATCATATCCAATACAATGTTAGTATCCATTGGTGAGTAACTTCATCTATTCGACGTATAATATTTTGATTCATGACAAAAAAAAACGGGGTTTTTATGACGTTTAACGGTCCTTGAGCTTCTTAAATGACGATTAACGTAAAGTTAAGTGATCTAACAAGTTTTATTGACGAAAATAACCTGATAAAACTTAAAAAGTTCATACAAGACTTTTCAGAAGTGTCAGTACCCGTTTTCTAAAACTTGCTATGACATTTTCAAAACTGTTGTATAAAATGTAAACAAATTGATTTACTTTTTGTGTCATATTAGGTTGTCCAACTTTGTTGATAGAACTTGTTAAGTCGTCTAACTTCGTCACAACTTACAGTAACGTCATACTACATGCTATACAGTTGTATTGATCATATAAACTTAACGTCTCTTGAAGTACTGTAATAGAATACCCATGTACGGTTAGGCATCCAAGAAAACCGATATTGTTGTAGTGAATGATATAAAGTCAATGTCACAGATGCTTTTTTGTTAACGACAGGCACGGGGTAAAACAACTAAGGACCGGTTGGGCCGATGGTCCGGCTTACATAACACAATGCCCGATTCAGCCGAAAGGAACCTATGTGTATAAGTTCACACTAACCGGGCAAAGGGGAACCCTTTGGTGGCATGCACACATCTTATGGCTAAGAGCCACAGCCCATGGTGCCATTGTCATCTTGCCAAAGCTTGGGGTGCCTTACCCCCACCCAAAGCCTCATAAGGAAGTTGTGGTTGTATTGGGTAAGTTGCTCCATTTTGTTTTAACCGAGTACCGCTAGTCCAACGACCATTTGGTTTAAAGATCATAAGTTCGAGTCACGAAATGAAATGTTTCCGGTATGTAGGAGAATGGTGGAAATCGGATACTGAATCGGTGATCAACCAAGCGCAAAAACTCGGCCAAGCACCAAATGTCTCGGATGCTCACACGATCAACGGCCATCCTGGGCCTACCTTGAATTGTATCGCAAACGGTAGGATTTTAAGTACTTTTAGATCGGCATATTTGTTAGATCGTTAAATCGTTAGAATAACAAGTTTGAACATGATCGAATTTGTTGTAAAAGGTGGGTTTAAAGTACCAGTCGATCAAGGAAAGACATACATGTTAAGAATCATCAATGCTGCACTCAACGAAGAGCTGTTCTTCAGGATCGCAGGCCATAACCTCACGGTCGTTGAGGTGGATGCGAGCTACGTCAAACCGTTTGTAACCGACACCATTCTAATTGCTCCAGGACAATCCACGAATGCACTCGTGACAGCGACTCAGACCGCCGGCAAGTACTTGGTTGCGGTTTCTCCGTTTATGGATGCACCCATCGCAGTCGATAACGTGACTGCCACCGCCTCCTTGCATTACTCTGGTACAGTTTCTTCTGCCGCCACCAAACTGATCGCGCCACCACCTCAAAACGCAACTCCTGTGGCTAACAGTTTTATAAACTCCCTTAGAAGCTTGAATTCCGCAACGTACCCCGCCAACGTCCCGTTGACGATCGACCATTCCTTATTTTTCACGGTTGGCCTTGGAGTCAACCCTTGTTCAACTTGCGTTAACGGTAGCAAGGTCGTAGCCAATATAAACAATATCACGTTTACGATGCCCAAAACCGCACTTTTACAAGCAAATTACTTCAACATAAGCGGGGTTTTCACCGACGACTTCCCTAGCAACCCGTTGATGCCATATAACTACACGGGCACACAACCAACGAATCTCGGAACAACAACAGGTACAAAGCTATACCGACTTCCATACAACGCCACCGTACAACTTGTTTTGCAAGACACGGGGATGATTACCCCCGAAACCCATCCGCTTCATTTGCATGGCTTCAACTTTTTCGTCGTTGGAAGGGGGTTCGGTAATTTCAACCCCGTTACCGACCCTAAGAACTTCAACCTCGTCGACCCTGTCGAAAGGAACACCGTCGGTGTCCCCGGGGGCGGTTGGACCGCTATCAGGTTCAGAGCCGACAATCCAGGTGCTTAATTTGCGTCCGTATTAGCTTAACACGTTTATTGGCTCTAAAACTAATGGTTTTGGTTTAATCAACAGGAGTATGGTTTATGCATTGTCATCTGGAAGTGCATACAACTTGGGGGCTGAAAATGGCATTTGTTGTGGACAATGGGAAAGGCCCAAACGAGTCTATTCAGCCACCTCCTAGTGATCTTCCCAAGTGTTAGAAGAGTCTATTCAGCCATTTACCAAAAGGGTTCTTTTGGGCAGCCAAAGTGAAGTTGCTGAAGGATGAATATTAAGGGGACACTTTGTCTTAATTATTTTTCTCTTCTGAAGTTGAGTGATTCTGAATTTTTAATTGTGCAAGGAATATGTAGAAAGTAATAATCAACAAGTTTTGAAATTACTGCTAAAACTCAACGGTTGTTTTTTCATTAAGTCTTGTATAAATAAAAGTATCTGTATGGATTAATCTATGTGTATGGATTGGCAAGTTTTTTTTAAGAGAGTGCATGTTTTTTTAATTGACTTTCTTCATAAATCTCCCTCCTAGAAACTTCCTCAATAAAGCACATTCTATATTACAAAGTCACTACCAGAAAGTCATATATATATATAGCTGATATATATATATATATATATATATATAGCTGACCGAATAAGTGATGATTATCATTTAACTCATTAAGCTACTAACAAACAAACCTTTATCTTAAAATAAAATGGCTTAACAGAACAGTGGATACGAGTTAGGGGCCGTTTACTAAACACTTACCCGGTAAGTGCTAACTGGTAAATTACCGGATGAACATAACAAGGGTCAAAAATCTTACCCGGTAAGTGCAATGATAAAGATGAAGAGTCTTAATCGGTAAGTGAAGGTGACGACTATTACCCGGGTAAGCGCTTACCGGGTAAATTGTTGCATACCCGATAAAATAAATTACAGTGTTGACTCCTAACTGTAAACGCTTTCCGGGTAAACATGTAGGTAAACGAGCTTTTAGTAAAAAATTTAAACTTAAAATTTTCGGTTATTTCACATGAATTATTATTTTTTATTTTTTTTATGTTGAGTGATTGGTAATTATATATGAAATATGAAGTTAACAAAACATGCAAGAAGCTTTGAAATTACGAGTAAGACTTTATGTCGAATAAAAAGATTTAGTGTCGTATACCTAACGTTTATTCGGGTAAGTGTTAATCAAGTCATATTATCTTATCGGATGAATATAGTAAGAACCATGAATCTTATCCGGTAAGAGTGAGACAAAGACCAAAAGTCTTACCCGGTAAGTGAGGGCGAAGACTATTACCACCGCTAGCGCTTACCGGGTAAATTGTTGCATATGATGCCGTTTTTGTTGACTAAAATCTTACCCGGTAAGTAAGTGATAGTGTTGAATTTTACTGGTAAGCACTTACCGGGTAAGTGTTTAGTAAACGACCCCTTAGTAAAATGATGAACCAGAGAAACTCGTAGTTATGCAGCTTTGGGGATTTCAATCGTCAAATTGGGAATAGAAGATCAAAGAGGATTGAAGAGACGCTCTTGATAACGAGGTAGACGTACACTAGAAGAAAGTCGGCTTTGGATTTTGATGTTGAGCATAGATTTAGGATTTTGGGCTATGTAATCTATATATCAGGGCTTTAAAAGAAAATATAAAATTGGGCCCCATATTTTTTGGGGCCCTGTTCGAGGACTCCTATTTAACAGCCCAATTGACGGATCTGGTTGGTAAACGTCTTACGCCCGTAAGCACTTAACAGGTAAGAGTCTTTTTCCTCACTTACCGGACAAGACTCTCGGTCTTTGTCATCGCTCTTACCAGGTAAAGTTTTTGATTCTTATCATGTTCATCCAGTCAGGTAATGTGACTTGGTAAATGCTTACCGGGAAAACGTTTGGTAAATGGACCTTTTCAGTTACCTTACCAAGTGAGCATACTAGGATTACTACCCAAAAAAGTACGTGAAAATAATAACTGTTGTCAATAAGTGCTTACCTGATAAACACGAAGTAAACAACCCCTTAACGTCGATAATAGATACATAGTGGCTTGTCAAATCTAATCGTTGCTTAAATCTTAAGAGAAAAATAAGCATTGCTTAAAAAGACTTCATATGCTCAAAATAAATACAAGTCATGTCATATAGTTTAATAATAGTAATTGACTTGCCCTTTCGGTTTTAGCTTAATGGATAAGATGTATACATCTATACTATATTATAAAACATTTGACAAAAACTTTTAAAAATCATTTTTTATGCGTAAATTATTGTTTATTAATGCACATTACTTAAAACTCAAGATTACAAGTAGATTGTGCGTAAGTACAACTTATTAAAGCTCCATATTTGAATTCGTGTAACTAA